AAAAACCTACATTTACTGTACAGCGTATCTGTGTTCTGTGTGTGTATTATTCCTACACTACTCTCAAAAACGTCTCCATGTATGCCCTCATTCTCCTAACGGGGAATTACCTCAACACTCCCTGTGGGGCTGGCCTCTCCTTCCCTTATCTTAGCATGATGAGAAGGATGGCTGACAAAGTCCTTGTTGGCCCCCATTTGCTGCCTGAATTGGAGATGATCCCTGTCTTTTCCTTTTCCGTGGGAGGGGAGGGCACTATGCTACATGACGTGAGACAAAGTTCAACACCCCAGAAGCATGGCTGGCTGAGGAATTCGGGGCAGTGAAATCCACAAGTCTTAAAGTTGCCATGTGTGTGTGTGCGTATAAATGGGAGGATGCAAATATACATCCATCGGGTGCAGCAATGGCTCATGTTGAGGAAGTGAAACCCCCCCCCCCATCTCCTGAAAGGGGAGGCTGATGGTATATTTGACCAACATTTCCACCAGATCATCCTACCCGGTCACATTTTGGAATTTATGTTCAACCATTTTCTTTTGGTTTCAACTGTTGCATCTACCCAACCGCTGGAATCACTTCACCAAGGGCTTAAGTACCAGAAACCATGGTTCAAATAATCATGGTTTAGATGAGGGATATGTAATTTCTGGGCTAAAGACTGATACCAGCTTTTTTTAAAAAAACCTCATAGCCTGTATGGGTTGGCAATATTATCGAATAAATCTACATAGAGTTCTGTAAAGCCTTTGATTCAGTGGTACACGACAAACTACTCCTAAAACTAAAAACTTATGGTATCTCTGGACACCTGAATAACTGGATAGAAGCATTCCTATCAAACAGACAACAAATGGTCAAAATTGGGAGTGTCCTATCAAATTCTGTATCTGTCAATTGTGGTGTCCCCCAAGGCAGTGTTCTAGGACCAACTCTCTTCATACTCTACATAAATGACCTCTGTGATCATATCAAGAGCAACTGTGTTCTCTTCGCTGATGATGTAAAGCTGTTCAATACCACAGACAATACCGCTACCCTTCAAAAAGACCTCGGCTATGTATCAGAATGGTCAAACAAATGGCAACTTCAAATCTCAACAAATAAATGCTCTGGCTTACATATTGGCAAAAAAAAATCAGAAAATAAAATACAAGCTGAATAGTTAAGACCTTGATGAGGATCCAAACTTTGTCAAGGATCTTGGAGTACTCATCTCTAATGATCTAAGTGCTAGAGCCCACTACATAGCCAAAAAGACATTAAGAGTTGTTAACCTAATCTTACGTAGCTTTTTCTCTGGTAATATCACACTACTAACTAGAGCATACAAAACATTTGCTAGACCAATACTCAAATACAGCTCATCAGTCTGGAACCCACATTACGAATCTGATATTAGCACAGTTGAGAAAGTCCAGAAATATTTCACAAGAAGAGTTCTCCATTCCTCTATTCGTTGTAGAATACCTTATGTCACTAGACTTGAAATTCTAGACCTAGAAAACCTTGAATTACGTCTTCAGTCTGATCTACATATGATATATAAAATCATACATTGCAATGACTTACCTGTCAATGAATACTTCAGCTTCAACCATAACAGTACAAGAGCAAACGATAGATACAAACTCAAGGTTAACCACACCAAACTTGATTGCCAGAAATAGGACTTCCACAACAGAGTGGTCAACATGTGGAATACTCTACCTGACTCTGTGGTTTCTTCCCCAAACCCCAAAAACTTTAACCTTGGACTGTCTACTATTGACCTCACCCCTTTCCTAAGAGGCCTGTAGGGGGTGTGCATAAGCGCACCAACGTGCCTACCATCCCTGTCTGTCTCTTTTATTTTTCTTATATGTACCCATTTTGCGTATTCATAACTATGCATATACTTATACCTATTATCTTGTAAGCGATTGAATCAAATCAATAAATAAATAAAGTATACACAGCTAAAAGAATTGGCCTTGGGCAGGAAGATGTAAATCTTAGTTAGATTACATGACTGGAGTTTTACAAGGTAATTAGAGCACTAAGAACAAAGACGTTTGCCTGTATAAGACGGACAGGACATCTTTCTGTATTTTGAAGCATTTTTCTCCTAGGTCTCTTGTTCTGGGCTAGGAATTTTTAGATTCCTAGCTCTTGTAACTTGGATCAAATAGAAAGTCTGCTTTCTTTGATTTGCAAGCCTCCGTTTTAAGTCTTCGTTTTGGTTCATTTTTGGCTTAAGCGAGTTGCCAGACCTTAACACAATTCAAATGAAAATACTACAGTAAAAGCCAAGAATAGCCATTCTTCCTAGAGATGAAGCAGAAAGAAAGTGGATATTTTCTGCGCTGGGAGAACGTTCAATTCAATTCAAGTAATTTGAACCTCTTTCCCCCCCCCCCCCCGAAACACCCCTCCACCCCCAACTGAACAGAGAAGGCGTGTATTTCCTTCATCCACACAATAATCTCCCCCCCCGG